TGAGAAAAATATGTAATAAATTAGTTATTGAGTACATTTCAAATTCCTTTTTTCATCTTTTACTTTAAGTTCAGGGGTTATGTGTGCAGGTTTGTTCCATTGGTAAATTGTGGGCCGCTGAGGTTTGGTGTACAAATGATCCTGTCACTCAGGTAGTCAGTATAGCACCCAATAGTTTTTCAACCCATACCTCCCTTCTACCTTCCCCCCTCTAGTAGTCCCCAGTGTCTCTTGTTCCCATTTTTATGTCCATGTGTACTTGTAATGCACGGCTTCCACTTATAAGTGAGAACATGTGGCATTTGGTTTTCTGTCTCTGTGTTAATTCACCTAGGATAATGGCCTTCAGCTGCATCCATGTCACTGAGAATAATATGATTTCTTTCTTTTTTAAATGGCTCCACAGTATTCGATAGTGTATATGTACCACATTTTATTTACCAAGTAGACCATTAATGGGCATCTAAGTGAAGTCTATGTCTTTTTTATTGTTAATATTGCTGCAGTGAAGATACAAATGCACGTGTCTTTTTTCTAGAATCACTTGTTTTTCTTTGGGTATGTACTCAGTAATTGGGCTGCTGGGTCAAATCGTAGTTCTGTTTTAAGTTATTTGAGAAATCTCCAAACTGCTTTCCACAGTGACTGAGCTAATTTGCATCTCCACCAGCAGTGTACAAGCATTCCCTTTTCTCTGCAGCCTCACCAACATCTGCTATTTTTTTTACATTTTAAAAATAGCCATTCTGACTGGTGTGAGATACTATCTCACTGTAGTTTTGATTTGCATTTATCTAATGATTAGTGATATTCAGCATTTCTTTCTTTTCTTTTAATTAATTTATTTATTTTGAGACAGAGTGTTGCTCTGTCACCAGTCTGGAGTGCAGTGGTGCGATCTCGGCTCACTGCAACCTCCACCTCCCAAGTTCAAGCAATTGTCCTGCCTCAGTCTCCCGAGTAGCTGGGACTGTAGGCATGTACCACCACACCCAGCTAATTTTTGCATTTTTAGTAGAGACAGGGTTTCACCATGTTGGACAGGATGGTCTCAATCTCTTGACCTCATGATCTGCCCGCCTCAGCCTCCCAAAGTGCTGGAATTACAAGTGTGAGCCACCACACCTAGCCAGCATGTTTTTATTTATTTGTTGACCAATAAATAAATGTATTTCTTATTTTGAGAAGTGTCTATTCATGCCCTTTACTCATTCCTCATGGGGCAATTAGTTTTGTGTTGGAACTGCTTAAGTTTCTTACAAATTCTGGATATTAGACGTCTGTTGGATGCATAATTTGTGAATATTTGCTCCTATTCTGTAGTTTGTCTGTTTAATCTGTTGATAGTTTCTTACGCTGTGCAGAAACTCTTTAATTTACTTAGGTTGCAGTTGTCAATTTTTGTTACAATTGCTTTTGGGGACTTAATCATACATTCTTTTCCAATGCTGATGTCTAGGATGGCATTTCCTAGGTTTTCTTCTAGTTTTTATAACTTAAGGACTTACATTTAAGTCTTTAATCCATCTTGAGTTAATTTGAGTATATGGTGAAAGATAGGGGTCCAGGTTCATTCTTCTGCATATGGCTAGCCAGTTATCCCAACACCATTTATTAAATAGGGAGTCCTTTGCTAATTGTTTGTTGTTATTGGCTTTGTGGAACACTGGAGAGCCATAGGTTCTGTGATTCCTGGATTCTTTATCATATTCCATTGGTCTGTGTATCTGTTTTTCTACCAGTACTATGCTGTTTTGGTTACTATATCCTCATAGTACAATTTGAAGTCAGGTAATATGATGCCTCCAGCTTTGTCCTTTTTGCTTAGGATTGTTTTGACTATTTGGGCTCATTTTTGGTTCCAACTGAATTTTAGAATAGTTTTTTTTTTTTCAAATTTTTTGAAAAGTGACATTGGTAATTTGATAGGAATAATGTTGAATCTGTAGACTCCTTTGGCAGTATTACCATTTTAATGATATTTTTGTAACGATCTATGAGCATGGGATATTTTTCCACTTGTTTTTATCACCTATGATTTCTTTCAGCATTGTTTTGTAGTTCTCCTTATAGAGCTTTTTCACCTCCTTGGTTAGATGTATTCCTGGGTATTTTAATTTTTGTAGCTATTGTAAATGGCATTGCATTCTTGATTTGGCTCTCATCTTGAATGTTAATGGCATGTAGGAATGCTACTGATTTTTGTACATTGATTTTGTATTCCGAAGCTTTACTGAAGTTGTTTATTGCCTCTAGGAGTCTTGGCAGAGTCTTTCAGGTTTTCTAGGTATAGAATCATATCACCAGTGAAGAGAGATAATTTGACTTCACTTTCTATTTAGATGCTCTTTCTTTCTTTCTTTCTCTTGCCTGATTGCTCTGGCTAGGACTTCCAGTACCATGTTGAATGGGAGTGGTGACAGTGGATATCCTTGTCATGTTCCCCTTAAGGGGAATGCTTCCAGCTTTCACCTGTTCAGTCTGATGTTGATTGTAGGTTTGTTATAGATGGCTCTTATTATTTTGAGATTTGTTCCTCTGATTCCTAGTTTGTTGAGGATTTTTAATCATAAAGAGATATCAGATTTTACCAAAACTTTTTTCTGTAGCCTTGTGTCTACTGAGATGATTGTATTGTTTTTGTTTTAATTCTGTTTATGTGGTGAATCACATTTATTGATCTGCGTATTTTGAACTAGCACTGTATACCAGGAAACAGTCTACCTGATCGTCGTGAATTAACTTTCTTATGTACTTGATTTATTCATTTTCCAAATTCTTAAATGCTTGTATTATAAATTTTACTATTTATTTATTATACCTGTTTTTTCCCTTAACATTTTTCCACATTTATTAAAAATAAAAAGATAATATATTGTGAAGAAGTATAATTTTACTCAAACCTCAAAATATTATTTCTTTTCTGCTTTCCTACTCCATTTCAGATTGTGGAGGGTTAAGGTTAAATTAATTAAACTTAACTTATGAGCCTAAACCTGGGAAGCCATGTAAAAAGACATTAAAGTAGTATAGGGTAAAACTCTGGCTCTCCATTAGTTTAGAGTCAATTTAATTATGATATTGAATGCCAAAAGGGGGCATAATGGTGAGAAAGTGTAAGAATATACTCAGGAAAGAACTCAAGGTAGGTGTTTCCTCTGCGTTCTGTAAGGCTTTCATGCTTTGGTTATGGATCTGAAACCTTAGTTTGTGTCTTATTTGAAGCTGGTCATATTCTGAATTTACTAATTCCTTGACGTTCGTATAAGAATAATTTGAAAATTAACTCTATTTTAATACTTTGCAAGGAGAAATAGCTATTTTGTGCAGAGATTTATGTAGAAAACTGAACCAAGGTTAATAATTCTTTGATAAACATGCTTTTTGCTATCTTTGAAGATGTCAATATATTCTTTCTTTTTATCACATTCCACCAACATAATTACTTCACTTGTCTTCAAAATGAATGAAAATTCAGATAGTCATTTCCAATGTAACTTTGAAATAGGTACTGTGTTGCTGCTTCTCTCCTGAAGATAAAGCTTGTAACGTGCTAAACATGTGGCAGTGAGAGGTGACAATGTGCAAGCAGCCCTCACTCTCAGTGCCTCCTCTGCCTCAGCGTCCACTCCGGAGGCACTTGAGGAGCCCTTCATCCCGCCACAGCAGGATGAGAGACCCTCTCTGGGCTGACTGAGGCCGGAGCCTCCTCCCTCTGCTTGCGGGGAGGTGTGGAGGGAGAGGCCCGGGCGGGAACCAGGGCTGGGCTGGCAGGCCAGAGTGAGTTCCGGAGGGCAGGGGCGCGGACTCAGCAGGCCCTGCACACGTAGCAGCTGGCCCGCACCACCGGTCCAGGGCAGTGAGGGGCTTGGCATCGGGGCAGGCATCCGTGGAGGTTGCAAGCTGGGTCCTCCAACAGTGCCCGCCCACCTGCGCCACACTGGAATTCTCCCTGGGCCTTAGCTGCCTCCCAGAGGGGCAGGGCTCTGGACCTACAGCCGCCATGTCTGAGCTCCTCCCCCTGTGGTGGGCTCCTGCGTGGACTCAGCCTCCCCAACAGGCGCTGCCCCCTGCTCCCTGGCGCCAGGTCCCATCCACAGCCCAAGGGCTCAGGAGTGCAGGCTGTGGCTCAGGACTGGCAGGCAGCTCCCCCTGCAGCTCTGGTGCAGGATCCACTAGGTGAAACCAGCTGGGCTTCTGAACTGGATGGGGACTTGGAGAACTTTTATATCTAGCGGGAGGATTGTATGTTCACCAATCAGCACTCTGTGTCTAGCTCAGGGTTTGTGAATACACCAATTGGTACTCTGTATCTAGATAACTTAGTGGAGACCTGGGGGACTAGCACTCTGTGACTCTGTATCTAGCTCAAGGATTGTAAATGCACCAATCAGCACTCTGTGTCTAGCTCAGGGTTTGTAAATACACCAATCAGCACTCTGTGCCTAGCTCAGGGTTTATAAATACACCAATTGGTACTCTGTATCTAGCTAACCTAGTGGAGACTTGGAGGACTAGAATCTGTGAGTCTGTCTAGCTGAAGGATTGTAAACTAGCAGCAATCAGCGCTCTGTAAAAATCGACCAATCAGCTCTCTGAAAAATAGACCAATCAGCAGAATGTGGGTGGAGTCAGATAAGGGAATAAAAGCAGTCTGCCCTGCCGGCTCTGGCAACCTGTTGGGGTCCCTTTCCACAGGGTGGAAGCTTTGTTCTTTCCCTCTTTGCAATAAATCTTGCTGCTGCTCACTTTTTGGGTCCACGCTGCCTGATGAGCTGTAACACTCACCAGGAAGGTCTGCAGCTTCACTCCTGAAGCCAAGGAGGCCACAAACCCACCGGGAAGAACAAACAACCCCAGACGCACTGCCTTTAAGAGCTGTAACACTCACGGGGAAGGTCTGCAGCTTCACTCCTGACAGCGAGACCATGAACCCACCAGAAGGAAGAAGCTCCAGACACATCTGAACCTCTGAGGGAACAAACTCCAGACACGCCATCTTTAAGAACCATAACACTCACCATGAGGGTCCGCGGCTTCATTCATGAAGTCAGTGAGATCAAGAAGCCACCAATTCCGGACACAGCAGTTCAGCAGAAGATTCTGAGTGTTCTTCATGGATCTTCTCTAGGAGCCTAGAAGGAAAAATGAGGGGAATGTCTCAAATCAAAATTTCCAGGAAGACTAAATGGGTTCTATGTCCTTACAAGCTACATGTGCTAGAAAACTGCCTTTCTTCCTGCTCTGCCTTGCCTTGGGCTTCAAAAAAAATTTCTAAATAAAATGAACTCTATATCCAACATTGTCATCCTATCCAGTCTTCATCTGTTTGACTATGATCTGTCTACCATTGGTACTTCCAGACAAATGTTTCTTCCATTGCTAAACCATGTTGCTAATTCGAATCTTCTACACTACTATTTAGTAGTGATCTTCATCATGTGGAAGTCTCCAGTCTTACTTTTCACCATGTATCACTATTTCTGGAGAAATACCCGTCTATCTTTAAATCATTAGCATGTGGACAGAGCAACCCCATTAAAATGTGAATACCAACAGCTATAGATTGACCTTTCACTCAATAGTATCTGGTCTGTTTGCCTCAGAGGGGCTCCAAAAAATTCACATGCAATTCTAACATAGCCCACCTATCATGCCACAAAATGGCAGTGTTTGCAGATGCTGATCCAGTAAGACCAGTTTTTTGCTAGCCACAGCTCTTCCCTTCTCATGAGCATTGCTCACAACAAAGCTGAGATCTCAAAAAGGAAATACTGATCTCTCGTCTTTCTTTCCAAGCCCTGCGTAACTGCTCCATTGAGTTCTTCATAGAACAGCAGAAATTCTATGACATCTTATTATTACTAATAACATTAATGTAATTAACATGTGTTTACTGTAGAAAAATATCAACAAGGAAGTTAATAAAGCAAAACTATATGTCACCCTCTATTTGCCCATTTTCCAGTGTCAAAATATTAGTTTCCCAAAGTAAACTATGAAAAGTTTAAGTGCCCATTAAGCTATTTACATCATTTACTTTCTTTAAGTTTATATGATCATGTTTTATATATTTCTTTGCAACATTTTTTTTAATTGCCAAGCATCTTGGACTTTTTTAGATCTCAGGAAATACAAATATTTTATATCTGAATTTGAATGGTTTAATTATGTGTTGGTTTCAGTCATTCTCACATCCTTTACCTGCACTTCTGTATGCCTGGTTTTACCCTACTGATCAGCTAGGACAACCGACATTACTAGGCACTGGTGTTGGCTGAGCTCACCCAGCAGATATTTTGACGCCAAAAACATAATGGCTGCCTGCGACTCCCGCCATGGCTGCTACCTAACTGTGACTGCTGTTTTCAGGGGCACATGTCCATGAGGGAGGTGGACGAGCAAATGCTTAATGTCTAAAACAAGAGCAGCAGCGACTTTGCTGATTGGATCAGCATGTTACAAAATATTTTTTACATGTATGTGTTACTAGATTTAAAGACTTGACTGTAAGTTGTCCAGTTGACTGTAAGTTGTCCAGTTTCTTGGTACACTGAATAAAGAATTCAACAAAATGTACAAACAAAACAACAAAAGAACAAAGCAATACAAACATTTATTTAAGCAAAAGTACACTCAAAGAGTGGGAGCAGGCTGGAGCAAGCCACTCAAGAGCCCTAATTGCAATGTTCCTGGGGGATTTTATTGAATTAAAAGAGCATGGTGACCCCCCTGAGTACCCTTTAGAGGCTTCTGATAGGTTACACCCTATACAAATGAAGGATTTTGCCTAGGATGAGTCAGACACATTCAACCTATGAAGTGTAGGCAAATGAAGGTTCCAGAATGGGCCAATTACAGACAGACATTCCCGTTCAGAACATAGAATAGGGGGAGGTTCAGAGAGGGAAGGTACTTTGGCTCCTCATTACTTGGTGGTAGCAGCGTGGGGTTTTCCTTAGCCAATTCCAAGAAGGCAGCTAGGAGTTGGCCTTAAGTTTCCTGTCATCACTGTCTCCAGACCGTATTTTCCTGCTTCATAAGTTTGGGTAGTGTGTGTGTGTATGTGTGTATGTATGTGTGTGTGTGTGTATGTATAGGCAAAATTAATAGATGTAAACTAATTGGCTTAAGGAATCTGTATATTTTTAACTTTGGTAAATATTTATACATTGCTTCCCAAAAGTTTACACATATTTACACCTCTTTAAAAAATGTTTATTTTTTTAAATCTTCACAGATTTCAAGCTGTGTATGAATACAGGAAAGAAATCCCAGGAAAAAAATCATAACATGTAAGTTTTAATTTATAGTTTTCTAATTATAACAGGGTGAGAATTATTTTACATGATTATTAGCCATTTCTTTTAGTTTTGCATGGATACACACATATTGCCATTTCATGTGTTTCATCCATTTTTTTCTTCTTGTTCATATTTTTCTTCTTATAGACTGAGAAAATTAGACTCTTTAAAATATACTGAAAATATCTTCTCAGTTTGCCGTTAGCCTTTTAATTTTGTTTCATTTTTACTTTTACTTGTTATTACCATTGTTGTTATTTTGTTATATAGAAGTAGCAACTGAACTGAAGATTTATAACAATGAAAAAGTTGAAATCAACAGAGAATAACTCCAACTCCCTAGGCAAGCTCTTGGGTTCCCTCCCGGCTGCTCTGCACGGCCAGATTTCTGCCAGCCTTTAGATTCAGTACAGAATATCCTTGCTTCTCAGCCTAAGCGAAATAGACCCTCAGGCCCAGGAAGTAGGTCAGTTTTCCTTTTTCAAAGAGCCCTTGACCCAGAGCTGACCGCTTCTCCCCTATGCCCAATGATGGTACTATCTTCTTTAGCATTACTTCCCAACTTTCTCTCTTGTCCCTTCTTATCGTAAGATTAAGGCCGCTACTTCTCCCTCACCCATTCTGATGTCTTTTATATAATTTTTTTTTTTTTGGTTTTTTTTTTGGGTTTGTTTTTTTTTTAAGAGAGAGAGTTTCACTGTGTAGCCCAGGTTGGAGTGGTGCGATCTCAGCTCACTTCAACTTCTTCCTCCCAGGTTCAAGTGATTCTCCTGCCTCAGCCTCCTGAGTAGCTGGGATTGCAGGTGTCCACCAACATGCCTGGCTAATTTTTGTATTTTTAGTACAGACAGAGTTTCACCATGTTGGCCAGGCTGGTCTCGAACTCTGACCTCAGCTGATCTGCCTGCCTCGGCCTCCCAAAGTGCTGGGATTACAGACGTGACAGACCGCACCTGGCCTCTTTTATATAATTTTAGTTTTACCCTGAAAAATGACACCTGACATATTCAAACTCCCTACCCAATATATTTATTTATTTTTCTTATATTCAATTGCCACATGTCTTTTAAAATATTTCTGGAAACACTTTATGCAAAATTAAACATTCTTTCTTTCTTCATCTTGTTTCCAATAGCTTGGAACAAAGAACAACCATGGTTTTACTTGGAAGTCATTCACAAACATAACAGACCCATGGGAAAATGTCTACCAACAGCTGCTTTCACCTAGTAAAATGTTTTTGAGGATCATCTACATTGTAGCCTATATTTGCAGTTTATTTTATTAGTAAATAGTACTGCATTATATGGTAAATAGACTACATTTTGTTTTACCCATTTATTATTTATGGACATTTGGATTATTTCTAGTTTATGGCCATTATGAACACTACTGCTGTAAGCATTAACAAATATATCTTTGTGTGGATATATGTTTTATTCTTCTTCAGTAGATTTGTAGAAGTAGAATTGCTAAGCCATATGGTAATTTTATATTTAACATTTTACCAAAAAATACAGAATATGTAAGGCAGCACAAAGGAATTTTAGGACAGTGAAACTATTCTGTGTTATATAGTTATGGGGAATATGTATCATTACACATTTACCAAAACCCATAGAAAGTATAATTCCAAGAGTGAACCCTACTGTAAACTATGGTCTTGGGGTGATAATGATGTATCAATCTAGGTTCATCAATTATAACGAATTGTGGTGTTACAATATATATTGGTTTTCTTGCACAGTTCTTGGCTCATAACTCCCATAGCCCTTGTTCTCACCTTTTGTTATAATATTGGATACGTCAGGCCTCAGTAGGAAGCCAATAATCTTCTGCCCTCCTTTCTCTCGAATGTTCCACCACCTTTCTGAATGTGGGCCTTAAGACCCTACCCTGAGAGGATCCTACCCTATACTCTGGGGGAAGGAATGCTGATGTCATGAAGGTTCCATAAAAAAGATTTTACATAGCTGAACACTTGGTGGTTCCTGGAGTGTGATGTGTGCAAAGAGGGTATGGGAGCTCTGTACCCCTTCCCAAGTATCTTTCCCTACGTGTCTCTTCATCTGTATCCTTTGCAATATCCTTTATAATAAACCAGTAGATATCAGTGTTTCCCTGAGTTCTGTGAACCACTCCAGCAAATTAATCACGTCTAAAGTGGGAGTCATGGGAACCCCAACTTGAGCTGGTTGGTCAAAAGTTCCAGAGGGCCGAACTTGGGACCGGTGTGGTTGCGAGGGAAGTCTTGGAGACTGTGTGATCTGTAGGATCCCAACCTGTGGGATCTGACACTGTCTCTGGGTGGATAGTCTCAGGACTGAATTAGGGGGACACCCAGCTGGTATCTGCTCTTGGTGTGTGGGAAAATCTCCACATACATTTGGTCACAGAAATCTTCTCTGTTGATTGTTCTGATGTGAGAGTAGAGGAAAAACGGTTAGAAAGAGTTTTCTCTATGCACAAATGTACCAGTCTGGTGAGAGATATTCATAACATGGGAGGCTATGAATGTGTGGGAAAAGGGAGTATACGAGAAATCTCTGCACGTGCCTCTGAATTCTGCTGTGAACCTAAAACTGCTCTAACAACAACAACAATAATGTCTGCATTAAAAAACAAAAGGATGCAGAGGCATGTGTTATCCAGAACTGCTTGGAAATGCAAGGGTCATGCTGTTTAATTCTTGACTTCACTACCAAAAAGCACCTTGAAGTATGAGATCACTTATTTCAATATCTGGTGTTAATTTGGATTCTGTCTGTTGAATTATTTGATTTTTCACTTAGTTGGTTACAAAATCTGATAAGGAAAATAATTGCTACATA